CGCTCATTACATAACCCGAAATTAGAAAAATGTTAAGAGAAAAAATTTAATTCCTAAGATCGTATCCCCTCTCCTCCAAGAAAATGATCACATTTAATTTCTGCATTACTCTTGAATGACGATCCAACATAAACTAATAAGCAAGCAATTTAAATTAAAAAAAAAATTGAAGACCCATCAAGTTGGACGAGAAAAGCAGTGCTCTATTGACAAATGAAGATCTCTTTAATTTTGAGTCTAGATTTTCTAGTCAAAAGGAGCTAAAAGAGTTATAAAACAATGATTTATGTGCATCAATCATGTTTGTGCCAGCCATATAGTGCTGTACATGAAAATCATAAAACAAAATATTAGTTCATGTTCTCTCTGGATATATCTGACATTCTTTCCCTCTTCCCTACAATATCTATCATTGCATCTCATCAAGCCAACTAATAACGTTCAAGAATCGGTGGCGGATTCAGGATTTTGTGCAGTCGGGTTCAATCTTAGAAGTACATAACTTTAATCGTAAAATAGTAGTTATCAAGTGGGTTCAAATAAAATATTTATACAATGTCAGATATATTTATATAGCGGCGGACGCACGCTTGCCACCTCCGCCACTGTCAAGAACAGTTTGTCAATAAAGTATATATTCTTATTTTAATCCAAAAAAGAAGTCAAATATCTATTTTAGTGTGATGCCCATGGCAGAGCGCAAGCTAACGAGGGCGGGTCAAAGAAAATGACTCACAGACTTAATTTTTAGACTGGCAAGCTTATGAAGAAGAAGTGTACATGACAGCTAAGGCGAATCCCATATCGAAATGAGAAAAGAAAAAAAAAGGGTTTTATAATGCATAACACAAATTTATATAGTACGTATGCTTTTGGGTTCAATAATGACGTAGCCCAAAAAATGAATTCATGAAGTTTATTGGGTCAAAACGGACAATACATATCATGAGCTTGAACGATAACATTTAGCTACATCATTACGTCTTTATTTATTAAAGAGAATTAACAATAAAAAATGTTGATCACAAAAGTTCAGTAAGAAAAAAATTGACCAATAGTTACGATATGTATGAAATATTTAACGTTTGTCTGGTTATATAACTTTTCAATATTACTATGAAATGTTTATCATTTGTCTGATATATAATTTTTGAAATTTGTGACTTACATTTGTTTGGCTCTAAAGGAAATGTTATTCATTTTAAAACAGATTAAATCGGAAACCAGATTTAGTACTGGTTAATGTATATATTTTCACTGGGATTTGCACATCCACAACACGTGTTGTTATCCCATTCGGGGGTGTATTAGCTTCATGACTTTTTAATTGGAGAAAATATAATTAAGGAATCTAATCACTTTGTATTTATTATACGAGGTGGTAATAGATCTTTCATCGTCTTCATGTGGTTTTGCTCGTGATTTGTTGTATATACTCGTACAAAAATATATACTATTATATTTATTCATCGAATCAAAACAAGAAAAAGGATTTATTTATATGTGTATATAATCCCTGGCACACATTAATTCAAACCTTGTAAAACTAACCCAATCAATGCAAATCATTTAACAGACAAGTTTAAATCTAATCTTAAAGTTTTAACATAGAGTATTAGGAGATTCCAGCAGAGAACTAAGGTCTTTGCCCTTGTGATTTCAAGTCCCAAGGCCAACTAATAATGGCATACAGAAAGATTTTTTACAACTTTTTTTTAAAGAGAATTAACTATTAATTAAAATTATAAAGTCTCGAGTTTTTTATATGACACTTGTTAATTTTTTTAAAACATAAGTCAACTTCAGAATACGATTAAAATCATAGCGCTCAGATCAGATTACTCTTTTCAATTTAAACTGCACTCTTTCCTTTTGTGAGTATTGGAATATGTTTGAAACTTTTACTAAGAGCTTGATTAAGCAATAAAATGTCAAATTCAATTAGAAAAGATTAGAAAAAGACATGCTTTCGCGTCTTCGTCAGTATAAACTTTTGGACATTAATTAAAATGGCAGAACTGGATCTCATTAGATTCAGATAAGAGCGGTAGATGCAGTGTAAGTTCAAGAGGGAGTTGGTATTGCCTTTGATCTATAAACATAGTTACACATTTAAAAAAATTGTAATTTATTTATGTTAAGTTTGTGCCATTGACAATATAAACGGATTCAAAATTTAAATTTTATTACCTCAATCTTTAAGGTTTTTTACATTGAATCCATTAAATTTTTAAAGTTAAAAGTTCATATGTACTATTTATTTTAATTTTGATGAATTTTTGCATATAAATTTATGCTCCGTCTAAAAGTCTTGCCTTTAGATAAACCCAGCACTCTAATGCTAGATCCTCCATTGATTGACAAATTAGATAAAATTAATTCCTAGAAAATATTTTCATGGAAAATGAGTGGTTTTATCACTTATTTTTCCTTGTTTTGTTGGTGAGTGGAAAACATTTTCCGGAAAATATTTTCTAGTGGGAAGGTTAGGAGTTTCGAAAAATATTTTCTTTTCTCTTGATAGGGAAAATATTTTCCTCCAATTAGAGGAAAATATTTTCCAAAACATTAAGGCCAACCAAACATGAAAAAATTGGAAACCTTCGTACCAAACACACCCTAAAAATAAAATCTTGGATCAGCTCTTATTCGCACGGCTAAATCAAGGTTGTTTATGCTTGGGTCAATTTGTTCACTGGCTCCGGTCCAATATATGGAGTAGCTGTTTTGATAAATTAAAGATTAAATTTGCTTAGAAATATTTGATATTTTAGAAAAAGAATCATTTATTACTCTTTTTTAAATAAAAAAAATCTATCATAACTATGTAGTGTTAATTAATTGAGATGCTTAAGATATATAAAGGTATTTTATACAAATATTGTTATGTAGGTTATTAAGTATATCTTTCTTAAGTATATTGCAAAAATCATAAAAAATAAATAATATGGACATGAGATGGTATTTATTAAATGCCATCGCACAACATTATCGTGCTATTCTGGAAAATTTTACCAGATTAGTCCTATTTATTGTCCAACTTTGCTGCATAATTTCCTTTTCTTCTTCTGATAATAAATGCCAAAAACCAAGAAAAGAGTTCACCAGCACTATGAATACACATATCAGATTTGGCCAAAAACCACTATTGATTGATGTTGCTTATGACCTACACTTGCCGCATATTTCTGGGCAGCAAGCAAATGGATGATCGAAAATTGTTCAAAAACTTTGCCAAAAGTTGCCACTGCCAAGCCTTTTAATAAGCATATATCATAAAAGATTAGTGAGAATGTCACCTTATCTTGTCTTGCTATGTATAGAAAACCTATCAGTTCCTTATCTCCATTCAAGTTTCATTACCACAAGAATTTGGTCCATGAATTAGTTTTTTTTTTTTTTTGTTTCTTGCCGGTGTCCGGTAGTAACATTGGGATCGATCTCATATGATCAGGAGTAAAATGTTCCCTAATAAAAGTAACTTTATACACAAAATGATAAATGAAAGTACTTATCATTCTACGCGTTTATTGGTGGTTAAAGAATTAGCTGGGAACGAGAAAAGCACTCTTCAGTTTGGCAAAGTTGTGAAAGAAACAGAGGGTAGTCAAAAGTGTTATAAATTACGTAGAATTTTATTTTAGTTAAAAGTACTCAAGAAAATATTTTAAAAATTCAGAAATTTCCAACTCATCAAAAATTAGTGCTACTCTTTCTTAGGGAGAATGTTAAATATTTTGGATTTAAATTATATAAACTGGAATAAAAAAAGAGTTATTTAAACTGATATTATGAAGAATTTTTTACATCAATGTAGTTTAGCCTGCGATAATATGTTAGACATTACTATCAACTTCACGAGGTTAAAAATTAATATTATCACGAAGATTTACCTATAATTATCCGTTAAAGCATATAGCTTAAAACTTAATCTTTTAGTATGATTTTCTCTCTATTTTTCAAATATATTTTAAAGAAATGCCCTCTATATAGGTATGCATACGCATGGATAAGCTAGGGAAGTTATTATCAAAATAAGATGCAGAGACCTAAACTTGTAGCTAGGTCTCCTTTAGAAGCAACCCAAGTGGCCATAAAAGTGTGAGAAAACAAAGCTTTAAAGTTAAGTAGGTGCCAATTGACCAAACAGAACCAAATTAAGATTATATAACTAAGCTCTCCTCTCAAGGTACAAACAAAGGCAGGACTATTATAATAATAGATAAAAGTAATGTCTGGCAAGAGTTGGCAATGTCAGTTGCTGGCTTAATAGAATAGGTCCCTATTAGCATCAAATTAAAATTACTTTGGGCGTCATTTGATTGAAAAAATTAGTTATTTTAGGATTAATTATTTCAGAATTAATTATTTTATATTATTACTTTACTATTCTATAAAAATAATACTATAATCCTGAGATAACTAATTACAGGAATAGTTATATCGTGACTTCAGTGGTGAAGCCACATAGTTACAAGGGTGATCAGTTGACCATCCTTCGTCGAAAAATTACACTGTGTATATAGATAAAATATTATGTTTTAGAAGTATTTAACACATATTGAATACCCTTTGTCGGGATTTTTTTTCACTTCCTTGAGTAAATTCCTAGGTTCGCCACTGCGTGACTCTATCTCAACTGAATGTGGGATAAACACATTTCAAATTTAATATCGAAATTAATTATCCCTTATCCCGAGTACCAAACGAGACATTACTCTTCTTATTGTCCATGTGTTATTACGGGTGGTGGATGTATGAAATCCCTCCACTTTTAATCGTAAGTTTCAAGTACGACTATGAAAGTAAAAGAATCTTAATAAGAAGTATTTCGTCTTAAAATATATGATGTGCTTTGAAAATCTAAATTAATCGAATCGGTAAGTTTGGAATAGTAGGTTTATTATAAAAAGAAAGTTTTCATTTAAACTAATGAACACTGCTATTTTCTGAAATTAAAACAGATATTTTCAGCATTATTTTCTAAAAAAATCTTCAAAACTATACCAAACGTCACAACATAAGTAGTTCTATAAATTCTACTAATGTTAATATTTTTTTCCTTTAAAAGTTGGAGTTAGTTCAATATTTTAACAGTAGCAATGGCGGTGGTTAATCATCAAGACTCTGTTTTTAATGCAGGCGTGGCTATAAATGCAAAGGGACCTTTGATTCTAAGCTTTCCTTTTTCTATTCCTTCAAAAATACCCATTTTCTTGTACACTTCTCTCTCTCTTTCTGAAAGTCTTTGACTGTGGTTATTAGCAGAGTGTTATTTATATCTTCAGTACATAACAGTTTTGAACATTAGCCAAATTTCAAGAAAATAGTGTACAGAGAACCAAATGTAGCACACAATCTGAAATGAGGTATCTTTTCTAGCTTCCCACTTTTTAGTCAGGTCTTTTTCTGTTTCAGAGCTGAGCTTAGGAAGGTGGGTGGGTCTGTTTTTTCCCCCCTGACTAGGGTTTTAAAAATGAGTATTTATGATGCTGAAATTTAATGCCTTTCCTCTTCAATTAACTGCAAATGCTCTTTATTGAACTGGGAATGTGTTTTCTTGGATAATGTTGCTTGGACTTTTCTGAATGCTTTGGAATAATGGGTTCAATGCAAGTTTTTTTGTTTTTTTTGTTTTTGAGTTGTTGGTTTATTTCAATTTCCATGATCCTTGCATTTTGTTTCTCCATTTTGTGTTTTGAACTGTTATTTTCTTGGTTATGTATTTTCCAGCTGTTTGAGTGGCTAGCTTTGACTTGTTTGTGCTAAATTCTTAGTTGATTTTCTAGTGTACAAACTTTTGTAGTCTTGTTTCATCTTGTTGAGCTGGAAATTTTGAGAACATGGTTAGTAAAGAGTATATGAAGTAATATTGCTCTAATTTCTCCACCTGTATTATGATCTTTACTTAAGATTGTCAAATATAGAGCAATGAGGATTTTGTGAAATACTCAAGTTCTTGTTCCATCTTTAGGTTGTGTTCCTGATACTCAAAACCTGTGGTTAAGGAGAACTTTTTCGAGTCTTGATTAATTTGCTACACTTTCAAAGGATGGATATGGTTAGCAAGGATGATGCCGAGTCAGAAAAGAGGTGTGAGGATGCTTTGAACTTCCAATCACCAAATATGTCATCGGATTGGCAATTAAGCGGCACCAATTTGACTAATGCATCCATTGGGATGGTTTCGAATAGCAATCCAACGGTAGATTCGTTCTGTGCTAGTGTTTGGGATCATCCGACCAGTTTATCAAACTTAGGCTTAAGTGATACTAATATTCAGATGAATCATGGCACTACAAATGCACTAGACCCCCTGAGAACTAATGTTAATAGAATGCTTGGTATGAGTCGGGCTCAACCAAATGCAATATCGTTGAAAGGGGGCACATTTGTACCCCCTACTCCTGGTATGCTTCCTCAGAGCTTATCTCAGTTTCCAGCTGATTCAGGTTTTATTGAGAGAGCTGCAAGATTTTCATGCTTCAGTGGAGGAAAAGTTGGTGATATGATGAACCCCTTTACCGTCCCTAATTCTCCTAATATGTATCCTAATGGACTGGCCTTGCATCGGCCACAGGAGGTTTTCGCTAGTAAAGGCTTGCAGTCACCTTCTGCTGCAATCAGTGAGAAGCAGCACACAGGAAATGTGGTTGAAAGTTCTGAGGATGTTTGTTTACCTCTTGAAAATGGTGCCATAGATAGAAGCCGCCTCAAGAATGAGAAAAATGAAAGCTTTGCTAGGTCTCGGGATGAAGCAAAGGAATGTGTTGGCATCCCCGGAAACGAGTCTGATGAGGCTGAATGTAGCAGCCATCAAGAAGAAGTGGAGGGTAAGGATTCTTCTGCTAGGAGCCTTGGCTCAAAGAAAAGGAAAAGAAGTGGTCAGGTACAGTTTACTTATATAAATTCTTTCTATGGATTGCAATAGCTGCAACTGCAATGTTTCTCAAATGTTGTTTTCTGTGCAAGTTCTTCTATGTTAAGTCTACTTGTCATTTTGTTAGGATACAGAATTTGATCAAACGAAGGGAGCACAACAACCACCAGCTGAACCGACAAAAGATCAAACAGAAATTCAGAAGGGAGAGCAAAACAGGCTTGGTGGAAAGAATAGTAAACAGGGGTCTCAATCGGCGGATCCACCTAAAGAAGAATACATACACATTCGAGCTCGAAGAGGCCAGGCAACAAATAGCCATAGTCTTGCAGAAAGAGTAAAGACTCCAAAATAGAAGCTTAAAGGTTGTAACGAGATCTCATCTTGTAGTTCTCTCAAATTTGACGAACTTTATTTTGATACAGCTAAGGAGGGAGAAGATCAGTGAACGGATGAAATATCTTCAGGATCTTGTACCTGGTTGCAACAAGGTTAGTTTATTTTGCAATAAACAGCCTTCTTATAACATGTCCATCACTATAGTAGGCATCTTCTCTTTATACATCTCGAGTGAGAACTGAGAACCGGTGGTTTTGCAGGTCACTGGGAAAGCAGTAATGCTGGATGAAATCATTAATTATGTACAATCTCTTCAAAGACAGGTGGAGGTATGCTATTTAATAATTTATCTATTATTCACTTCTCCAAATTTTACTTTGTTATTCCCCTTGCACTTCCCTCAAAATCCATTTTTGTTTCGTTCTGATGATGTTGTTTAATGAATGATTAACCCCACCTTTGTTTTTTCCCTCTTTTGGGTGGTAATTTTATCTCTAATCTTTAAATGTAATGCACATGCATCTACAGTTCCACAAAACGTTGCATTGATTTCTGATTTCTGAATCACTAGTTTCTGATTTAGTTGTTGTTTGCTAAATTCTTGCAAAATCTAAGAAGTTTACTTAAAACAGAAGAACCCTCTTTTCATGGCCTCTTAACGTATTTGTGTTCGATAAATGACTGGACTTCTTGTTCTCTCAGTTCCTCTCAATGAAGCTTGCAACGATAAACCCGCGTCTGGATTTTAATATTGATGGGCTCCTTGCAAAAGATGTAAGAATCAGTGTATTTTTCTGTGAATTACATGAAGCGGAACAGGTTTTATGCGTAATGTCTAGTTTCTAAATATAGCGCATTCTTTCACTTCTTCTTGCAGATTTTCCATTCACGAACGGTTCCTTCTTCGTCACTTGCTTTTGCTCCTGATATGACAATGCCATATCACTCCTCGCAACAACTGCAACCCGGCCTACTTCAGTCAGGTCTTCCTGGTTTAGGAAACTCTACCAATGCACTTCTTAGGTCGATCTATCCCCATTTATCCGCAACTAGTGGTGGCTACAAAGAGTCTTCATCTCAGGTAGCATTCTGAATACAATTTATTTCATGTAGTGAATCATGAATGTTTCTTCTACCACTGCAGCATAAATAGCCTTACTCTATAATCGAACCATTCCGTTTACTTGTTTTTTCAGTTGCCTAATATATGGGATGATGAGCTACATAATGTTGTCGAGATGGGTCTCAGTACAAGTCCGCCCCTCCATAGTCAAGATTTAAGTGGTATTTTATATGCTCCTCATGATTTTTTAAATTGCAAATTAGCATCATCTCCTTCAATTATTACAACATTCTACATACTTGGTAGGTTCTCTGCCATCAGGCCAGATGAAAGAACTTTGAACTTTGTTTTAGATATCAACTGCTTGAACTTCCTGTTTGTTGGGTACGCGGAACATTTGGGAATACGTCACAGCGAAGAGCTATTCCTATGAAGAAGCTCTGTGTTCGGTGTACAGCTAAGAGTGTGTTTATGGTGCACTTGACCTCCTTTTGTTTCAGTACCATATAATTAACTACCAAGAAAGTAACAACTTATACCAGGAGACACAAGTTCTTCATCTGCAATATCAAATGAAAGTTCAAGAAAATTATTTTATTACCTGGATGTATATGTAAGGAAAATGGATGATGACATTTGGTCTTAATTCTTGAATCTATGAAAGAAAATGACTATATTCTTGTTCCCTCTATCAGGAAGAACTTGAAAATGTATGCTTGAGGTAGGAAAGTGAAGTTGCATTATGATCTTCCCAATCATTCATTCTCTCCATAAAGACTCTTTCTAGTTCCTGGAAAATTTAAACTGTTAAATACAGAGACAATACGACAATCTCGTTGTTATTATTCCAAGAAGTAAGAAGTATATATACAAATATAGAGCCCTAACTATAGAAAGAAAAAAAATGGAGATCTTATAAATCTGCCGTGAATCCTATAATTTTGCTAGCTATGTACATTACATAAGAGTATGTCTACATTCATTTTGTACCACTCTCCATCAAGGTGGAGCATAGATATTGATCATGCCCGGCTTATTATGAAGGTAATCAAATCGAAATTCATTCAACCTTTGTGAATAAATCAGCTGGATGCTCTCATGTCTTCGTAGCCAGTGGATATCAAGTTCTCCTAAATCTTCTCACGAATAAAATGACAGTCAACTTCAATATGCTTAGTTGATACATCGGATTTGACGCAATATGGAGGACAACTTGATTGTCACACCAGAGTTTTACTGGTATTGGATGCTCCAATCTAATTTCAGTTAAAAGATGATGTATCCACATAATCTCACACGTAGACTGTGACATAGCTCTGTACTATGATTCTGCACTGAATCGAGATACAACACTTTGCTTCTTACTTCTCCACGATACAAGGTTCCCTCCAACAAAGACACAATAGCCTTTAGTATATCTTCTATCAATTTTGGATCCAGCCCAATTAGCATCGGCAAAACACTCAATTAGAGTATGGCCGTGATTACTATATAATATGCTAAGTCTAGGAGCTCCTTTCACATAACATAAAATCTGTTCCAAAGCTACCCAAATTTTGACCATTGGTGTGGACATGAACTGGCTAACACCACTTGCCGCAAAAGCAATATCTGGAGGAGTCATAGTAGAGTAGTTTAATTTTCCAACTAACATCGTATATCTTTCTGGATCATCAAAAGGATCGCCATCATTTTTCATAAGGTGCACATCAGGAACCATCAGAGTACTGCGGGGTTTAGCTGCCAACTTTTTAATTTCTACAAGCAAGTCAAGAATATACTTTCTCCGAGATAAAAGAATTTCCTTCTTCCTTCTATTTACTTCTATTCCCAAAAAGTATTTCAACAGGCTCAAGTCCTTTGTATGAAGCCTAGTATGCAGGAAAGACTTGAGGGAAGAGATCCCCGCATAGTCACTTCTGTGATAACAATGTCATCAACATATACAATAAGGAGAATAGTGTTAGCTGCTGATTGCCGATAGAAGACTAAGTAATCGCACTTGCTCATTTTCAGTCCAAACTCCTAAACTACCTCACTGAACTTGCCAAACCAAGCTCGATGATTTTGCTTCAAGCCATACAAGGGCTTCTTCAAATAACGTACTTTTCCATACTCCCTAAGCAACAAAATCGGATGGTTGCTCTATATACACTTTCTCTTGAAGATTACCATGAAGGAACACATTCTTGATATCCAATTGATGTAAAGGCCAATTCTGGGAAGTAGCTAGAGAAATAAATAAGAAGACAGAAGTGAGTTTGGCAACGGGAGAGAAGGTGTCGGAATACTTTACCCTATAAGTTTGAGCATACCCTTTAGCCACAAGTCGAACCTTAAATCTTGCCACAAAATCACATGGATTAACTTTAATTGTAAAGAGCCACTTACATCCCACTGGTTTCTTTTCCTTAGGTAAATCCACCAAATTTCACGTCCTTTAAGGCATATATTTCCTCAAGTATTGCATCATACAATCCGGGATGATTCAAAGCCTCCTTCACTGTTTTGGGTACCGTGATAGAGTCTAGAGAAATAATCATAGATCTAGACGTAGAGGATAACAGTCATAGGAAACAAATTAGCAATGGAATATGTGGAATTGCAAGTACGTTTACCTTTGCGAAGAGAAATAAGAAAGTCAAGATTTTCTGTAGGACCAGGCGAAGGAGGATCTGATGACGAAGGAACTGTTGTAGGACATGTATCATTTGTATCTTGTCTCCTCAAGTAAACTTGAACAATTGACGGTCTTGCTAATACATGGGGAGTAGGTGCTGAAGGTATAATAGTGGATTGGTGCTCAATAGAAGAACTAAGAGATGGAGGAATATCATCTGGTTGTTCTGTCAAAGCACGGGGTAACTTGATACACATGCCACTCATCTTCCTTCCCCAAACTTGTAGAAATGGGAGATGCATAGAAGAATGGTGCAGTCTTTGAAAATACCACATCAGTTGACACCAGATATTTGTCAAGTTCAGTAGAACAACACTGATACCCTTTTTGAAGTCGAGAATAGCCTAGGAAAACACATTTCAATACCTTAGGATCTAACTTGGTAACAGATGGCCGAACATCTCGAACATAACATGTGCATCCAAACACATTAGGTTCCACAGAAAATAATGATTTGTTTGAAAAACGATCACTATAAGGAACATTACCACCAAGGACAATAGATAACGTGCGATTAATCAGAAAACAAGTCGCAGAGACTGCATCAACCCAGAACTATTTGGGAACCTTCTTTTGGAACAGAAGTGTTCGAGCTGTCTTAAGTAGTACTTATTCTTCCTCTCAACAGCTCTATTTTGATAGGGTGTATCAACATACCATGTTGTCTCATATAGGACCGAAATAACCCTGACATATATTCTTTAGCGTTATCACTCCTTAGAATACATACTAAATCATTAAATTGTATTTTGACTTTAGTACAAAAGGCAGAAAGATGAGTAAACACTTCAAAGCGACTCTTCATAAAGTAAATTCAAGTTATTTGAGAAAAATTATCTACAAAAATAACAAAAATACTTATGCCAGGTTTAGAAACAACATGACATGGTCCCCAAACATCATAATGAATTAACTCAAAAGCTGACTCAACGTGCTTATTAACCCTTGGACCTAACAAGATATGATGGTGTTTTGCAAATCGACATGACTCACAATGCAATGAGGAAATATTCTGAACTGAGGACAGAGTTTCTTCAACAAAGGTAGATAAGGATGTCCCAATCGATAATGTGTTTCAAAAAGAGACATGACACTAGAGCATGCAACAGACGGTAGCTCCCATTCATCAAGGATATAGAGATCACCAAATAAATATCTTTTACCAATAACCTACTTCGTCATAAGATCTAAAAACAAACAATGATAGAGAAAGAACGTGACACTATAATTAAGGTCTCTGGTGATTTTACTAATAGAAATCAAATTAGAAGTCGAGTTTGATAGACTTAATAAAGATGATAAGGTAATAGAGGAAATTAGTTTAACAGTCCCGGATTCAAAACTGTTACAAGTTGATCCATCAACTACAGTAACTGGAGAAGGTACTTTGTATGAGCGAAAGCTGGAAAAAATATTTGGATCAATTGTCATCTAATTTGTAGCACTTGAATCAATTACCCTTTTATTTGAAGGTGATAAGACATATTTTATCTGACCCACCAAATTCAGTAACTGAAAAAGATTCCTTAATTGATTTATGATATTGAAGATATTTCAAAAACTAATCTGAAATAAAGATTGTTGAACTAGGAGCTGTAGTATTATTTTCTTCTTGCTTATTGTTTCCTGTCATGTTCACAACCAAAAGTATCAAAATAACTTAAGGAAAAAACCAGCAGAAAATACCCAAATAGAGCTTAGATCCAAACAGTAATAAGTCAAAGGGAATTATATCACGGTTTATCCTGAAACATAGAGGCGATCTTGCGAGTGAAAGCTAGATAAAAACCGACGTGTCACGGGCTGGTACACTTCGTTGGGCAAAGCCATGCCGAAAAAATTCTGTCGGTGCTTGAGATCACGCCAGTCAAATCTGGCAAAACATTAATTCCCAACTCTAACGAGGCGTTGATACCATGTTAAATATAGAGACAATAGGGCAATCTCCTCGTTGTTATTATTCCAAGAAATAATAAGTATATATACAAGTACATAGAGCCCTAACTATAGAAAGAATAAAAAAAAGAGATCTAATAAATCTGCTGCTAGGGGTGGCAAATGGGCGAGTTGAGCTGAATTAGGGCGGGTCAAGATCAATAAATGAGTCATTGCCCAACCCATCCCAAAGTATACTTGGGCTAAGATGGGCTGGGTCAAGATGAGCTAAACAGTGGGTCATAGCCCAATCCGCCCAACTTGACCCATGTTTTAGAACCATGCTCATCTTGGATAAACAAAGCCTTTTACCTTTTATACACATATGTATAAAAGGTAAATAAATACTATTAGTATTTTGAGAATCAAAATATATTTTCTTAAATAACAAATTAGTATTTTAAATGTATAAGTTGAAAAATATTTTGCAGGTGGGGTGGGGGGTTGCGGTGGGTGGGTGGAGCAGAAAATTAAAAATACAAAAAAAAAAAATTGCCGGGGGCGGGTGGTGCAGGAAAAATTTTTCAAACTATTTTGTGCAACAAAACAGTGGAAAATGGGAAGCCCGTCGTACCAAACACACCCTAAAACTTAAATACCTTGATTCTCATTTTTAAGCTTAGATACAAAAACTAATGATGTGGCAACTAAGTAAATTTCTAGATAAGTTGGATTGAGGTCCCTTTGTTTCGGGGTGAGCTTCATGGGTTATATTTGGCTACTTCATGGGTCAGAATGAGCTATAAAAAATAATGGGTTAACTTGGGCTCAGCCCAAATAGACCCATGAACTAAAATATTTGTAGCCCAACCCATTAATCTTTGAGCGAGTTGAATGAATTTGAGCTCAAATTACGTATGCTAAGAATCCCTATAACTCTCCTAGCTATGTACATTATTTGATAATCTTACAAGTCTCCTGAAGAAAAATGTCTTGGTGGGACAAGGGAGAAAAAAAGAAGCAAGAAAGCATGAAACTGTTCCTGATTCTGCCTTTTAATGGTGCTTTTTCTCAACCGCAAAACTCACACAGTAAATTCGTAAAGACATGCTCTTTATGGAAAGGCTTCTTCTGTC